TTGAATGCCTTGCTACAAATGTGGCACTCACACTGAGTACTTTTGAAAGTGTGATATACATCCCTCAGAAAAATAGTCCTGTTAGTGCTAGTAGCCACAATAGCTAGGAGTGGAACTCGCGTTTGTAACATTCTCCATTCATTGATGCAGTTCATGCTGCAGTGAGCCACATGTGTTTGAGGGTGAAGATCAGTTCAATCCATGGCATCTCCACCTGAAAAAAAAATCAGATGGCAGATTTTGGGAGGGCCTTATGTTTGAGACTCTGGGATGCAGCAATTAGTTAGATTAGACAGTACTGAGCAATGTATGGGCTATACTGCACACAGCTGCAGGGGTTATGTAGTGGAAGCCATGCTTTCACTGTTATAAAAAGGTAAAGGTACAGGTTTCCCTTGACATGAATGTCTAGTCATAACTGACTGTAAGGGGTGGTGTTCATCTCCATTACTAAGCCAAAGAACCACCATTGTCTGAAGATGGCTCCACGGTTATGTGGCCAGCATGACTGCACAGAATGTTGTTACCTTCCCACCAAAGTATTTATCTACTTGCATTTACATGCTTTCCAACTGCTAGTTTGGCAGAAGCTGGGACTAGTAACGGGAGCTCACCCCATCATGCAGCACTTGGGCCTCGAACTACCAACCTTCCAGTTTTACGATAATCAGAATTGGCGTCTTAACCACTAAGCCACCACATACCTTTCAATATTATACATACTATTATAATACTATTATATACATCTCCTTTTCTTACCCCACAAGGGAGAATCATGTTCAGGAAATCACAGCAAATATGAATTTGCTATAATTTTAGAGAGGAAAGGTTCTTATAAAGATAGGTGCTTTTGTTGTTCTGTGCCTTCAAGTCATTTCTGACTTATGGCAACCCTAAGCCAAAGTTACTATGGGGTTTTCTTGGCAAGTTTCTTCAGTGTGGGTTTGCCATTGCCATCCTCTGAGGTGGAGAGAGGGTGACTTGGCCATGGTCACCCAGTGGGTTTCACGTCCAGAGGGGATTTGAACCCTATTCTCCAGCATCATAGTCCAACCTTCAGACCACTGCACCATGTACAAATTGGAACCATGGATCCATCTTGGTCATTATTGTCCCTCCTGCCTATCCACACCCTCCAATGGCAACAATGGGCATCTCTGAGCAGTAATCTACTTTCTCAGTAGCAATTCTGAGTAGATTTGGACCTTTACAGCTTGTTCCTCTCAGTCTTTCTTTCTGCTCTGTTCTCCAACATAGCTCACCCAAAACTAAAGGCAAAAAGGAGTCTTTGGTTTTGTTGCTTTCAATTATTTACCGATTTAATGAGAGCTTTCCGTAAGTACATGAGAGCGCCTCCAGCTCAGCCAAATTAACAGCTGGGAGTTGGAGCTGCTGTTGTAACTGTCAAATAAGCCCCAAAGAGATCAGAGAGAATACAAAAGTGGGCCATCAGGCTGGGGAAGAGAGCAGAAGTAAAGATGTATGTGGTTGGATTGCTGCTGCCAAACCGGGTCAGATTTTCTTTCTTTTTTTCCTTTTTCTTTTTGGGTCTCATGAGTTAAACCACAGTTGCTAGGGGCTAGTTTCCAAAAACTAGAAAGTAGGTCTCCTGGGAGCTTTCCTGTCTTATGTAGAATCAGTATCTTCCAACCCTTTTGGTGTGTGAGTGGGTTGTAGTTATTCTGTGATTTGGGAAGGGAATGTGCTTTGAGGCTTCATTTTCTTTATTACTTGATGTGACGGCTCTTACTAGGTCCTAGCATTAAATACAGTGCAGGGGCATGGTCCAGTGATAGAGCATGTCCTGTGCATGCTTTTCTGTTCTAGAAATCAGACCTTGGTGAAGCTTTATGAAGACCTTGAGGTAGCCCATTTGAGGCCTCATGAGGGTATTCCATAGCACTGAGCCATGGCAGTTAAAGCAGTGTCAAACTGCATTATTTCTGCAACCTATGTCTTGAATGAAGTAAGACCTGCAGTCCAGTAGACAGCAAGAATCTGACATACTGGTGAGCCCAAAACGTGTGATTTACATGCATCGTCATTACTGTTGGCAATGCTGGCTGAAGGATTCTGAGAGTTGTGTCATGCAAGGATGCCATACAAATTTGTGAAACATTCCATATTTTTCACTTTGGAAGCACATATACCAAGATTGGAACAATACAAGGTCAGAGTCCAAAATACCATTTCTGGATTCTGGCCTGTTGCCTTATTTGGTTCCTGGGGCACTAAAAGAGATCTGTATGTGGGGAATGGAGGAAGGACAGTAGTCTCAGTTAGTTGTAGAAGAATGATGATACTTGAGGGTGCTGGCCTTTGGGAAACAAACCACTTTCATCCTAGGAAGGGAGTTTGGATTGTTTGAATTCTAATGCCATTGTAAGGGAAACAGATCTCCAGTTCTGGCAAAAACCTCAGACTGTGAACTTCTGTCATGATGTCTGGAATTAAAGTCTTTTGTTTTCTACCACAATAAGATGCTTTCTTGGTTATTGGGAACTGAGTCCAAGGATCCTGACAAACATGCTCTGTAATGGTCTTGTTGGCTATAGAAGGACTCATTTCTAAGCAGACATGCATAATGCCATTATGTTATGATTCGATCATCTTTATTTACTCAGTCATTAAGCAGAAGGGGAGAAAGAAGCATTGCCCCAGTCTGGTGTCCTCCAAATGTGTTGGACTACAAGTCGAACATATGCTATGCTGTGCTGTGCTATGGGTGACAGAAGCTATAGTCCAAACAATTTGGAGAGCACCAGGTTTGGAACACTTATAAGATTGGGGAGGGGGGTGTTAATGCAGTGGAACTTCAATCCATAGCATGAGGTTTAAGGTATTGTGAACTGGGGGTGTAAGAAATAGTTCAGATCTGTGTTTTGAAATGGTTGTAAGTTATTTGTGAGACAACGCTTATCCCATAAGCATCTCATCATGCTCAATTGCCACTCATTAGTTCTAAGACATTTTCTCTTGTAAAATTATAGAGTTGGAAAGGATTTGCAACTAGTTCAACTCACTCTCAGCACAGGAATCTACAAGTTAAAGCACATCTGAAAGGAGTCTGTCTAATCTCTGATTTAAAAACCCAGTGAAGAAGAATTTACCACCTTCTGAATGAGGCAATTTTACTGTCAAGGAGTTCTTACTGTCTGAAAGTTCCTCCAAATGTTTAGATGGAATCTCCTTTCTTGTCATTGGAATCTCTTGGTTGGGGTCCTGTCATTTGGAGCAGTGAAAAATAAGCTCATTCCATTTTGCACAGGAGAGCTCTATTTATTGGCAGATGCGGCAAGGGTTATCTTCTTTTTAAGCGACATTGGAACATAAGAAAGAGCAAAGATGGAAGTGAAGGAGCATGTGGAAGGAAGGTGGCAGAAATTGAAATTGCTCAGAGGATACCCTGGTGTATAGGGGAGGAAAATGAAAAGTGGATCCCATATTATAGATTGAACTTAGATATTTATTCATTTAATATCCTACTTTTCTCCCAAATATGGAATCGAAGGTAGTTTGCAATATAAATTAAAACAAAATTTGGCTAATCATCATCATCATCATCATCATAAAAATGTATGTTAAAGAAACTGCTTTATTTAAAAAAACAGTAGTAATTTAAAACAATTTAAAAGTATTTCCAACATAACAGTGATGATAAAAGCAGAATTACTTAGTTTGACTACAGGTCTCAGAATTCCTCAGGATTATAGGTCTCAAAATCTCTCAGCCATCATGGCCACTGGGATGGGGAATTCTGTAAGGCATGGTACAAAAAAGTAACTTCTCAAAGCTCTGACTTTAAGGGCTGGAAAGTAAAAAGCTACTCTTTTGGCAGAGTGCAATTGCCTCACCACCTTGTTCACTGAATTATATAGGAGCTTTAGGCAACAACAGCATCTTCCATGCTTCTCTGTGAGTTCTTCCATGTTGTTCCTTCCCTGGTAGTTTTAGGAATCATGGAAGCACACTTCAAGGGCTTCTGATTTTTGCACATCCTGAAGGCGAATGGGGTGTTGATGGTTGTTGTAGACATCAACAAAAAAATATCTGAATTAGGGTGAATCAGTTCACCATCGCCCAACCACCAGTCTCTCACATAAGTGATTTAAGGTCCTGAATATTAAATCGGTGAGTCTCTCCTCCTCCCAACCCACTTCCTGATGGAGGTTGCATCACTGCAAGGCTGTTTGCAGCTCTTTAATCAAAAATCAAAGCGCCGACTGGGAGTTGCAAATACTGCCTAATGTATATTGATGCTCTCTTCTGTCTTTCAGGGTCGCCATGGCAACCGCATCCTCTCAAGTTTTGATACCCGATATCAATTTTAACGATGCCTTTGAAAACTTTGCTTTAGATTTTTCCAGAGAGAAGAAACTGCTGGAGGGGCTGGATTATCTTACAGGTTTGTGCCAGTTTTGCAGTCCCAGCCCTTCCCCACTCACTCCTCCAGCACCAAGCCCTATTATTTCTTCTGCCTCGTTCTGCTTTACCATTCCTTCATTGCTACAGTCCCCTATGAATGGGGATGAGGACAAGAAATTTATCTCTAAATTACATCTGAAGTTCTTTAAAATCAGTAGTATAGCTCATCTGATATTTCGGCGGGGCTCTGTTTCTATCAACTGAGAGCAAAGAAGGCCACTAAATGTAAGATATGGCTATTGGTTTGCCACTGCAGATCAGATCAGTGTGGATTCACGGTTTTGTGCAAGTTAGTTCATCCTGAAAGTTACCAGATGTGAACTCTCACCTGTTATGTTGAAGTAAGCCCTGGGAGGTGTGTGTCACTTGGCTTAGTGTGGGATCTATCTACAACAAGACTGAGAACATTGTTGTTGTTGTTGTGTGCCTTCGAGTCGTTTCCAACTTATGGCAACCCTAAGGTGAATCTCTCACTGGGTTTTCTTGGAAAGATTTATTCAGAAGGCAGTTTGCTTTTGTTTTCTTCTGAGGCAGAGAGAGTGCAACTTGCCCAAGATCACCCAATGGATTTCCAGTGACTGAGCAGGGACTTGAACCTTGGTCTCCAGAGTTGCAGTCCCAATACTTAAACCATTGCACCACTCTGGCTCTCATGGAAACACGTACTCCAGATATTTTGTGAACTGTAATCCCCATGATTCATCACCATTAACTGTGCTAGCTAGAGCCAATTGACACTTCAGTCCAACAGCACTTGAAGCACTTCTCGTTCTCTGTCCTACAATGTAAATGAAACTACAGTTTCAGTGACAGATGGCCATCACACCTTTGCTTAGATAGCACCAGTGAAGGAGACCCACCAACCTCATGACAGTGACTTCCACTGTTAAACACAACACTTTCATTAGGACATTCCTCCTTGGGTTCAACCAAATCTGCACCTCTGAAGTTATCTCTCATTGGTTCTACTCCTATTTCTTGGAGCAACAGAAAATGGCAGCTGTTATCTGATCCTCAAAGGGACCTGTGATCTTTGCTTGCCCAGGTGGACATTTCCATATATTTCCGATATATGTCATAAATAAAAGCATTCCACAAAGGACTGGTTTTCCAGTGGTGAATCTCTTATAGGAGAGAAGGCAGCTGCCAGTTGACTGCATTTCCTGACTGTACCATCACCAATAGATTGCTGCTTAAGCAAGCCAGTTAAGAAAGTAGAGCTCTTTTAAATAAAACAACAACTCAAAATTCAGTTTGGAGAAGTTTCTCCATGGTTCCCTAAAACAACGGTTCTCACCCTTTGGCCCTCAATGTATTGTTGGACTTGCTTCCAAAATCCCCAGACAGCATGGTCAGTGGTGGGGGATCCTAGGGGTTAAATCAAAAACATCTGGAGGACCAAATGGTGAAACCACTGCCCTAAGAAACATATAAAGAAGCAAATCCAATATCTTCTCATAGGAGAGCATATGAAAATTGACTGTGAGCAGCAGAATGTGACTTGTTTGAAAGGTTTCAATTAAAAATGCCATTTCAGGCTACCCCACCTCCTGCACCACACAAGTTGTGATGGGCCAGCTTGGTTTTAATTAGTTGTTAACTTAATTATGTCTAAATACTTGCTTCAGATTTCAATATTACATTATTAATGTTGAATCTCATTGTCTTCTGTGGATGGGTGTTCCTCCCAGCCATCTGTCACTTTACAGAAATGGCCACCAATCACATTGGTAAAGTCTCCTGGTGGGTATAAGCTGTAGAAAGAATGAGAATTAGCACCTTGTTAATACCTTGAGCAATGCAAAATATTAGGCCTTTAAAAGCAGGAGTAAGAAATGAAATAACAGGCAAATAATGCTTCTTCAACCTGACGTCCCACCCTGGATGTTTTGGATTAATATTCTTATGATCCCTAGGTAGCATGGAGGTTGTTGTCCATCTGGAAGGTGCCAGGTTGGTAATGTCTGAGCTAAAATATATTGCATCATCATGGAAAACCAACAAAAGCTATTGGCCATTTGCCATATGGCAGCTGGACAGATAAGAAATGCACTGGCCATCCAATATGTGGATATATCTTACTGTTCTTTCATTTTTCTTCAGTACTCTACATCTGCCTTCCCCATGGTTGTCCTGCTGATAGTTGCACCACACATCCCACCATCCCCAGCAAGCCTGGCACAAGGCCTTGGGTTTAGTCCTTGCTGTCACAAGTTAAAAGGATCTTGTGTACAAAGATCTGACCTCTGCTCTTAGGATCTTTATCCTTGTGGTAGCGCCTACCCAGACTAGGCTTTTCTCAAGCCACCTTAAATTCTGCTTTAATATTTCTGTCTGCCTCTAGCCTATGTGTCCTTCAATAGACAGGGGACAGAACTCATCAATAAGCTTATCAAGGTGGAAGAATGGAGTTGGGGTGCTACTGAGAGCATTCAGAATTTGGAGAGGAAAAGTTCCTCTTTGAGACAACAGTTCCCAGAATCTTCCTGCCAACATGACCACTGACTAGGGCTAGTCAAGGAGTAGTAGTCCCCCAAAAGAATGTTTCCAGGTTCTGCAAACAATTGTAAGGCCAGAAAACAGTCCAGTGGAAAATAAGAAATCATAGTAGAACTGCTGTCTACAAGGTCAGTCTCTTTATCACCAGGAGCCCTGGTAGTGCAGTGGTTAATTGCCTGTACTGCAGCCACTCACAAACCACAAGGTTGTGAGTTCAGTCCCAGCCAGGAGCTCAGGGTTGAATCAGCCTTGCATCCTTCCATGGTTGCTAAAATGAGTACCCAACTTGTTGGGGGCAATTGGCTTACACATTGTAAACTGCTTAGGGAGTGCTTAAGTGCACTTATAAGCGGTATAGAAATGTACTTGCTATTGCTATCCCTCACTTGTCCATTATTTTCCCCTCACTGACAGAGTCCCATGTAAAGCTGTTTCCTTTTAAGAAAGTGAACATCACCTGCTACCTGATCTGTTTTGAAAAGTTGGAATTGCTAATAATTTAACAGCAGACCCTCCACTTGTGAAACAAGTGGTCTTACTACTGAGTTACAGACTCAAAGACTGTAACTTGAAAGGTGTATATCATGGGTAGAGACCATGTGGATCATAACTGCCTTCATCCCTCATTATTGCCTATGCTAGCTAGAACTGATGGGATTTGCAGTCCAACAACATCTGGATGGCCACCAGTCAACCACACCTATCATAGATAGGTAAATACAGGTAGGCTGAATTTAGTAGTCCTCCATCCAGTCATGCTCTTGCACAGCATCTGTTCATTTCAGCGTGGTTTGCAGAATGGATTGCATCTTATGTTTAATTAGCAGAAGATCCATGATGGGATTTTGTTTTCCTTTTGTCCCCAAATGGTTCAGCATAGACTACGTTAACAGGGGCGCAATACAGGTTTTGGGAAAAACCTGTCAATTTGCTCATCATCGAGTTACAGATCTTTAAGCAAATTAAATGCCTCGTTTTCATGTGGATGAGTCTATCAATTAACTGATTAAAGCAGCGTGTAATTATATGCTGCAGCAGCATGGCTTAAAGGTGCTTTTTTGACAATTCTGAATGAAGAGGAAATTTAAAGAATTGAACGCTTCCTGTCACGGCAGCCTTTCTAAGAATTACGGAGGGGGGAACCCCCTTTCTCCCTTCTCTTCCCACTCTGCTTCCCATTGCTACTGGAATCCCTTTCCCAGATACTGCTCTGCCTCCCTTGCTCCCAGCCCTTTGACGCAGAAAAAGGGAAGCCAGATAGACTCAGTCCTCCATCTCAGCCTTGCGGTGTCCAGCCCAAGCTCCAACTATGGATGTGCGGATCCAATTTTAATTATCTGGAAAAGGGTATGCAACCTTGTGTTTTCCAGATGTCCCAGCCAATACAGCCAGCATACTCAGGAAGCCTGAATAGGAATTATGGTAGATGCAGTTTAAAATAACTAGAGTGTGCTAGGTTGCCTAACCCTGGTCTAGAAATTGAGGACAAGCCATTGCTGAAATGAAAGGAGATTTTGTGTTGTTGTTTTTTAGTCATTGGCCTTGACTTGAAAGGCATATACAGAACTGTTTTCCTGCATTGAGCTACCTGGATACTAGAGTCCGCTTTTGAAAATACTTCTGTTATCTCCTGGCGGCTAAGAAAAATATGTGGGTACAGTGTCTTGTTAACCCATGTCTTTTTACACAGAGCGGTATTGCCTAAGGGAAGAACCTCAGATGGTTTGAAACTAGCTGAAAATATAAAACTAGCTAGATAGGCCCATAAAGCCTTAGGTACAGATCTACCTTTAAAGTAGGATTCACTTTTTTTCTTGACATAAAGTCCTCAGCTCCATCATGCATTTGGCAGATGTACATATCAGCAGTTAGAGGCTTAATTTCTCCTCTGCCTCGTTTTTCATACACATGCTTCCTGTGGACTGTCTTGCCTATTGTTGTTTTTCCTACGTTCCACCGAAATGAGTGTTTAGTTAAATGTTATCTGTTGAAGTATTTTTCTTGAAGAAAAACATATTGGCTGAAATTTGGTTGCTAATCCCAAATAGAGTAGGGCCATTGAATTAATTGGATTTACATTAAGTGTTGATTTACCATTCAGCAATTGGTTCAGTTTTTCTCCTCTGACTGGGAGTAGTATTTAGATCAGGGGTAGGCAACCTTTTTGAGCCGGGGGCTGGGTTGCCGTCCCTCAGACAATTGGGGGGGGCGAAGTACCAAAAATAAATAAATAAATAAATAAATAAATTTTTACAATTTTAAAAAAATTTAAAAAAATATGCATGCACACTCTCTCAGCCCCAGAAAAGCCATGCCAAAACCCTTGTAGAGATTTTGTCAAGAAAAACCCAAGAACAAGTAATAATAACAATAATCAATATCATCATGGCAGACAGCAGTGGCGGCAGCGGGGGGGGGGGCGGCGGTGGCAGGACTGGTCCAAAGGCCTTGGGGGGCTGCATCCGGTCCCCGGGCCTTAGGTTTCCTATCCTTGATTTAGATTTAGGTTATTCTAGGCAAACATTATATTATAAAAAGAGTTGCAGAACTGGGGATGAATGAAGTCTCTGTGATGCAGGTGCTAGCCATTGAAGTCTACAAGACAGATGCAGTTTGGCAGAAAAGTTCTGCTTTAAATTAAGTTCTGACAAGAAAGTTATCTATCTGTTCGTGAGCCTATGGACATACTTCCCTAGTGGCTAGATTGTACAAATTGTGCCCCGACCCAAAGTTACCACTTTTAACTTGGTCTTGAACCATGTGGATACAAGATCCTCATTCTTTTAAAAAGATATTTCAAAGCATATGAGAGCCACATCCACAAAAATGTTAATGTCTGCTCTGTTATGTTCTGTTTTCCTTACAGCTCCCAACCCGCCATCAGTCCGTGAAGAACTTTGTACTGCCTCCCATGACACCATCACCGTCCACTGGATCTCAGATGATGAGTTCTGCGTCGGCTCATATGAGCTCCAGTATACCATCTTCACTGGCCAGGCCAACTTCATTAGTAAGTAACTAGATTTAACCTGCCTCCCAATTTCTACAGACAACCTTGAAACTTTGTGCACTTTTTAGTGAAATAACTGCCTCAAAACCATAGTCAGCCTCAACATAAATATGTCCCTCCCCTGACTAAACAGTCTGAG